CCTGTAAGCTCCGGTTAGTGGATCGAGGCTAGGCTACCCCCTAACTCTAAACTTCCGCCTGATTTCCGTTCGCGTGCAGCGTGGCTTCAATGGTTAACAATTTATTTATTTTTGGCCACCTTCATACCCAGGCTTAGTCACCCTTTCATCAGCTCTTCCATTTGCTGAACTGGATTTCAACATCATCGCGAGTTCTAAGAGGATCAATCACAGACACGAAGAAGAGAGACACCTAAGGTATTCCCCAATGAAGCCTTATTGTTGTCTGTGATCCCTGGAATAAGAGTCCTCGCCAAATCGGCCAAGCTATACAATGGTGAAGAATGCTGTACTTGTTCCCGTAGCATAACGAGATCTAAGAAACAAACAGGCGCTGCCAAACCTCCGTCGACTCTTTATCGAGTCACGAACAGATGACGAAGAACGAGATGTCTCCAGAAAAGCGGTGGGCCGTCTTCCGGTTTGTCTCAGCGACACATACTGATCGAAAGCAGTTCTATAACGCCGTTCTTTTCATGGGATCAATCGCTGTTTTCAGTCTCATCGCGCAAAGGTTAAATGCTGGTAAATGACGGATAGATCGTCGTCATCATTGCGCTCCAAAGATGCCATTCGAATAACCAGAGCATGGCGTTTTGTTCATTAGTATTAATCAAGATTGATATGTAGCTGAGACTCAATCAATCATCGGCTTCTTCCGCCTCTTCCGCCTCTACCCCTGTCTCACTCTTGGTGGTTTCCGCTTTGGCTTCTTGTTTTCGCCAAAGACCAGCCAAGAAATCGTTGGTGCTCGCCTCTTCAAGGCTCTTGTCCTCCCGCTTCTTCATGAATCTTGGAAATCTCAAACTTAGTCCTCTCTCGTCGCTCACGAGACCAATTGCTGCAGTATAAGTCGGGCTCAATGTGATATCTGCGAATGCCATTTCCCACACTTCTTGTGGTTCGAACCAGATATCTGGCCTTGGACCTGAATATTCGACGAAGGCGGGTTGTTTAGTTCTGGTGTTCTTGGGTTCGCCGCTCTCTTCGCCATCGTCATAAAATTGCCGATTAGCCTTGTAGAATGCATCTGTGAATCCCGACATGCATTTGCATACTGCTTCCAAGGACCCTGTCTCCTCGTTACGGCATGCCATGAGAATAGGCGACCACCATTTCGCCTTGCGTCCTTGCCCATGCCACCCGGCGACAGGAATAAGGTCGAGAGTATCAAAGCTCGAGTTATAGTCTTTCTTGACTTTGAGCCAGGAATCAAGTCGTTTGTCTGGCTCGTAGGTGGCCAGTAATGGTTTTCGTCTCGTCTTTGTTTTGGTTTCCCCATTTTCGTCATTCTTCCCTCTCGTTTTCCCTTTGCCTCTGGACTTGGAGTTTGGAGTTAGCCATTTGTTGGTCCCATCTGGCCCATCGTCATCTCCGTCGTCTGTGTATGGTACCGTGGGTAAATTATCCAAAATCTTTACCATGATACCCTCGCATTTGATATCCGTGGCAGCCTTGAAAAACTCCAGAACAGATTCGGAGTCCGCAGATGTAGCATCAAGACTCTGTACCCAAGTAAAATGATGTGGTATTTCCGTGAAGAGTGATCGTAGCAGTTCTCTTCTTTCTCGAAAGGGTCGATCTAGCAATGGCTGCCCATTCAAATACATCAAGTCGAACGCAAACATGCAAACGTCCACAGTGATACTTCCAATGTCGACGTCTTTTCTCGCTCGGTTTGTGAGCGTTTGGAAATTTTTGAGCTCACCAGTTTCACGATCAACTGCGACAACTTCACCTTCCATGATGAAGCTATCAACGCCTTCTCCGCGTATCTTAGGTATCAGCTCAACCAAGTCAGGATATTTGTCTGTCATGACCTCCAAGTGACGCGAGAAGATGCTGACTTTTCCACTCGCATCACAATGTATTTGCGCTCTCTGTCCATCGTACTTGAACTCGCACGCAAAGTCACGGCCCTGTAGTTTTGTGAGCATCTCGGCCAAGTCTCTGGTGATGCTCCCGAGCATAGGTCGTAGCGGTATATGCATGGTAAGACCACATCGGATTAGTAGTTCCTCGGAAATTCCAATCTCTAGGAGAACGGGGACAAGGTCGTTATAGTTCGGGCGCCTCGCAAAGCAGGCCTTGACTATCTCCTCAGCTCGACCCCAAATTTCAGCTAAATCTTCTTTTTTGAGCTTTGCAAGATCAGATACCGATTTCAGAGGAAAATCAGTACCCTTGGGGCGCGAGAGCAAAAAGGCCCGTGATAAGGCAATCAGCATCGTTGTTTTTACAGCACCAATACGCAACTATTGCTTGTCAGAAGATAACGACGAGTACTGACATGGGTTTCTCACATGTTGAGAAAGTGTTCTCACGATGAATCTACTCTCTTCACCACCGCGAGCGTCTTGTAGTAATCGATCCACCAATCTTTGCTTGGCTTCCGAACTACCCTGCCCTTGACTGCTGGCAATTTTGACCAAAGTTTCATAGACGCCCTTGATCGTGAGAGGCTTTGGTTTTCTGAGAGTGAAGCTCTGCTTTTTCTTGGCTTCAAAAGCTACATCTCCTGCGTCTCCATATTTGTCGTAGATGGCCTTTAAAGCTCTGTTGTCGAGTCCACAAACGTTCCGTAATGCTTTTGATATCGCTGAGCCACCCAGTCCGAGTTCCATGGAGATATAAGGAGGTGAAATTGCATTCGTTGCCAACCATACCTGCGAAAGTCAGAGAAGCTCAAGAGATGTAGTTTCAGACATACAGCTGGTAGCAAGCTTGTTGGATCTCCCTCAATAAGAACTCTTAAGCAGTTTACAAGGGTATCTACAATCTTAATCCGGCTTGTAGTGCCGTTAATGAGAATAAAGCAGCGGGTGAGAAGAGCATATGACGCATTGCCGCCTTCAGATGCCCAGTGCTCCTTCAGTTGGTCCAGATACTCAGATGGGTCGAATATTAGAGGAGATTCGTCAAGAGGTATTGATGTAGTGGTCGTATCCTCAGCCATACCTGCTGCCTGAAGACTGAGTGTAGGTTTTGCAGAGGTGAGTGTGCCAGGCTTGCTGAGAGCCGTTGGGAGAGTGACCGGGGGCTTCGGTTTTGGGCCTGCAGGACTAGGGCTTTCATCTCGAGATACTGACTCGTTGTGTTTATTCGGAAGCTCAAGTGTCTGTGCTTGTAGTGTGTTCTGTGGTGTGTTTGCAACTTCCTGGTCCCATTCTGCTTGAAGCTTCCTAGCTAATTCTTCGTCTGTTAATGCTGTAGTAGCATCACTTGATGTACTTTGAGCATTTTCTGCTGTCTTTGGCTTTTTACTGGACTCTGTGTCATTCTGCTTCTGCTTCGAAAAGAAGTACTCAAGACCACGGGTTGGTGTGGATGATTTGGTGCCGTTGTTGAGCTTTCGTTTCTTGGTTGGACTGGGCATATTTGCATTGATGCCCAGCTTGACTGAGACTACCACCGCTGAAAACAGAAGAATTCCAGAAGAGAGACAAAGCAATTCCACCACAAAGCTTATGTAAATAGAGAAATAGGTACGCCCCTTCACGTCCTTGTTCTATAAACGCGGCGGGCTCTATGACGACGTTGGCGCGAAGGCACGTGACCGAGTTAAAGAGCTTCGAAAATCGAAATCACCTCAGGAACCAGCCCGCTCAGTCAACGCTAAACCATTTCGGCACGCACAAGCGATTCACTCACACAACCGTCGAAATCTTCGCTCTGCCCCACCATCGCGAACCTCCCTCTCCCCCAGAACATCACCCCTCCCTCATAACGACCCCTATAAATCAGCCATAATGAACGGTGAAGATCCGCCTGAGAGGCCCAGCGAGATCTCGTCCATCATCAACGGACTCGAACGATACAACCCCGAGGCTGTCGGCGCCCTTGAGACCTATCTCCAAGACCAATGCGAGCAGAAGTTCACTGACTGCAATGCCAACCGAACACTGCTGAAACTGTGAGTGTTCTTACTATACATGCATATTACAGTACAACTCGGGCTCTTATATGATGACCGTTTGTCAACGTTTCCTATTACCTGACTAGTGTGGCGGGTTGTTCTCAACTTGGCCGCACCTGAAGTCAACTTTTAGTGCAACTGAAATGCCCAATTACTCCAACAACCTCTGGCATCAACACTGCTCGACTCGAGGCTAACTTCCTCAAAAGATACCAGCTCAACCCCGACCGTATCAAGGATGAGGTGATCACCAACGTCTTGGTCAAGACAATGACCCAGTTCCCCTCGGCACAGTTCTCTCTCGCTCTACACCTCATCAACCCCTCCGCTGCTGTCACTGGTGACCTCGGCGAAGCTATCACCAAGCTCCGATCCCTCAACGGTCAGCTTGAGGGTGCTCAGTACTCCCGTTTCTGGGCCGATCTCGACGACGACATGGTTGCCGATTTGATTGCCGACATTCCTGACTTTGAGGACGTCGTTCGACACCGGATCGCCCTTCTCGTCTCACAGGCTTTCCGTGAGATCCAGACCACCCATCTCGAGTCATGGCTCGGTCTCAACGAGGATGCCACCAAGAAGTTCGTTACCGAGGTTTGTGGTTGGACTGTTGAGAGTGACGGCAGCGTCAAGGTTCCCTCAAACCCTGACAACGAGGCTAAGAAGGCTGAGATCCGTGAGGATGTCAACGTCGAGCAGTTCTCCAGGGTAATCCGACGGTCGTGGGAGGACACTGTTTGAGCTTTTTGATGAGAGTTTTAGCGGATCACAAGGGATTTTTCGCGCACTTCCCCCACCATCTGATTGGATTCGGACATCACGATTGATGATGCGGAGGGGTTAGGAAGGGCTCACATGGTAGCATGGCGGGGGTTACAAAAACTAGGCGTTTAATCGGACATGTCATTGCAGAGCAATCCAAGGATCTAGAAATGCATAGAACTTTGCGATTTACTACATCGTATCTGGCTCATGTAGACCGACAATGTGGCTTGATTGCAGTGCTTTTGATTCGCTATATTTATTTTCCAAATTGTCCTGGCATTTATTTCCCCTTGGACAGCTCCTCCCATTGTACGCCAGCCCATTCTTCAAGGTATCCAACCTCTCCAACTGGCGTTCCTCGAGGCGAGCAATCTTTCTCACACACACCAACAATTATCGTACCCCACTCCATGCCCTCCAAGCTCATGTCGTCTGCCTCAAGCTCTGTAATAGCATTTGGTGTCAACTGTACCTCAAATACTCTTCTCGCCGTACAGTTGGGGCACCGAGGGATAGCACCCTTGTTCACAGCCTCACCAACAGCATCCTTTTTTGAGTATAAGAGGGGAGTGCCTGCAAACTCATAACGAATAACTTGCTCGGGGTTCTGCGCCAGACGATCTGCAAACTTCTGGAACGTAGCGTCCATGCTCGACTCAAAAGCCTCGCGATCCAGTATAGAAGGTTCTGCGGCATCGGCATCTTCAAGACGGGCGTTGGTGGGAACATTCGTGGATGTAGGTTCCAGAGTTTCAAAATCGGCGTCAGCTAGATAGAGAGTAGGATACGGCTGGGCCTGAGCATCTTCGGCGGGCCAAGGCTCTGAAGGTTGGGGTGGCGATGCCGGTGTATCCTTAATATTGAGAGACTCTGCAAATGTTTTGCTGAGGGCTGTTGTTGCTGGCTCGGGAGAGGCAGGTTTGGCAGGTTCAGACTGTGAAGCCGAAGAGGAAAATGGGTTCGCAGATCCAGAGCTGAATGGGTTCGCATTGCTAGAGAATGGATTTGCGCCAGAAGCACTTCCCAATCCCTTGGAACCAAACAGAGCCTCTCCTAATCCAGGTCCGTCGCTCTTTGGATTTTCTTCCTCAGCTTTCTTCTCTTCGTTGGACTCTTTGGATGCCTCCTCCTTCCACACCCGCAGACCTCTCAGTGCGCGGATGCTGCCATCTTTGCGCCGGCAAGTTTGTCTTCTACAGGCGAACACATAAATTCGTCGCTCATGCTCAGGAAATCTTTCGGGGAGTTCGCCGTTGAGCTGCAGGATCAAAGCCATAAAATCCTTGCAGACTTTGCATCGTGCGTAGGCTGCGCTGGGAGCATTCTCGTCTAACCAGTCCTGATTTCGTTGTTAGTCGGTACAGTTTTGTCTGGTGCGGGACAAGCCAAAGACATACGGGACGGCCTCCGAGTTTGCTGACAGTGTCTTCGTCTGCTTCTTTAGAGGCATATCCCAGGAGCACATTTGTCTCCTCGAATTCGCCGTCTGAGGAATCGGAATCGTATGAGGCCATGATGTAGATATTGATGAGCTTGATTTAAGTGATTAGTGGTGGGGTAAATATTTTTTTTTTCTTTACAAAAAGCTGTCTGTCACAATGCGGGGCTTAGCGCATCAGTAGAAATGTTGGACTACAAACCAGCAATACGTGATGCACTCATGTACGCTACGTACTAACGTATTACAAATGCTACAAACATGCTTGAGTCATGAATAAGTCGTAATTGTGTATATTACGCCCCAGAGCCTTTTGTCTAGCCTCAATTTTAACGTGATATCTCCTACATGTGATCATTAGGTCCATCCATGCCAGGCCCAGGTCCGCCTGCTCTGCCCATCTGTCGAGCCTTCAACAACTCGTCACATAGAAGGAGGTTAGATGCGATACTGGAGCTGGAGGCGATGCAATTTCGCAGAACTCGGTAAGAGTCAAAGACACCCTCCAGCTCAGGGTCCATAGGTTCACCGGTTTCGAGGTTAAGGCCAACGACGTTGCCGTCAGCGTACTCATCCTGCAAGTCCGCAACTATAGCAAGTTAGATCTTTGTCGTGGATATTCGGAGAATAGTAAACTTACGAGCATCCTGGATGTCAAGACCAGCGTTGGCAGCCAGAGTCTTGGGGATAATAAGAAGAGCATCAGCGAATGCCTCAACACCCCATTTGGCCTTGCCCTTGACAGACTTGCCAAAGGCATCACTCTTGAGGTGAGAAGCACAGGCAACCTGGAAAGCACCAGCACCAGGAACAACAGACTTGTCGACAATCATGTTGTAGACACTTCGCAGACCATCTCGGACAGCATCCGTCACTTGAGCAATGGTATGGGCGTTGGGGCCCTTAATCATCAAAGTAACGGACTTGGGGTCTTTGACCTCCTCAACAAATGTGAACTTCTCCTCGCCGAGCGTCTGCTCATAGACAAGGCCAGCCCAGCCCAGAACATCCTCAGACAAGTCGTCAACGCTGTTTTGAGCAACACCACCGCAAACAAGCTGAAGACGCTCCATGTTCCTTCGCTTGGCCCGTCGGAGAGCAAGGATGTTGTTCTTAGCAAGAACGTCAAGAGAAAGAGGATCGATACCCTTCTGGTTGATAACAACAAAGTTCTTTGTACCGTCGTTACCGCAAAGCTCCTTCTTGAGCTCGACGATTTTCTTGAGCTTGGCATCGACGAATCGACGCTCACTCTCAACAAGCTTATCACGCTGCTCAGCGCTGGAGTAGAAGAAGCTAGAGTTAATCTCAGTCTTCTCATACTCCAGGCTGACGTTGAGGGTGAGAATGTAGCAGTTCTCGAGCCGCTTAGGCATATCGGGGTGGCGAGCACCGTGATCAAGGGCCAGTCCTCGAATCAGCCGAGTGTCGGCGGCTGTTCGGTGCTGCATCTTCATAATCTCCACCATGTGCAAATCGGGCTTCGCAGGAGCCTGGTAAATAGCAAGAACGGCATCGACAATATCGGGTGTAAGCTTGGCGGCCAAAGTCGAGTTGAGCTTGGTAGCGAGCGATGTTCGGGCGACATTGAGGAGGAGTTCTCGGTCAACTTCCTTGGCGAGTTTGAAAGAGTCGAGGAACTACGACGTTGAGCCAAAGTTTCAGGGGGCGAGGTAACAAAAACTCACCTTGAGAGCCTCAATCTTGGCAACCTCGAAACCATCAGTGATGATACGAGGGTGCAGTCCTTCAGAGATATATCGGTCTGCCTGCTTGAGAAGCTCGCCAACCAGCATAACCACAGAGGTGGTTCCGTCACCGCAAATATCGTCCTGAGCGGTCGCTGCTCGAGCAATCATAACGGCGGTAGGGTTTTGTATTTGCATCTCTCGGAGGAGGACGTTTCCATCCTTGGTCAGCTTGATCTGAGGTGGTCGGTCAGTTTAGGGGTCGCCATGGGGTATTTTGATAGGAGTTTGTACCTGTCCCGCACCGTCAACAAGCCTGAAGACTGTTAGCTTCACATCGCCATATGAGAATTATGACAACACGTACATCTTAATGGTACCCAGAGGGCCCAGATTGGACTTCAAAACATCCTGTAGGCCTTCGCCAGCGCTAATGTTGACCTTCAGAGCTTCGCCCCTCCTCTGCGACAAGCGGGTTAGCAGGTTGCAAGGCAAGGCCACTTTGGCTGCGGGGGGGTTTATAGTTATTGGTATCGACGTACTCGGGACTCGGCCTTGGGGTTGAGGAGTTGTGCTGCCGACATGATTATAGATCTCAGTGGGCACAAAGGCTATGTCGAGATCAAATAGGTCGAGACTTGAAAAAGCGGTGCTGGTGTAGGAGGTTTCGCGATTTCGTAATCGCACAAGCTTGCACCAGCTGGTCACAGGCAATAGCGGATGGGCTAGGCTGGGACATTTTTTCTGCCCCTCCAAGGGGTGGAAAGCGGTGTAAGGTGAGGACCGAGGGGCTCGGTGAGCAACCAATCAGGTGAGACTTTTCTTAAAAGATATATGAAGCTATTCCGACATCATGACTGACTCGTTTCTGTACAGGCCATTCAGGTCTAAAGACCCAGGTTTCCGGTCTATCACTTCGCTCTTCTCTAATATACATCCTAGAACTTCAATTTCCAGTAATAACTCCTTCCATCCAATGTGTTCACGAGCTTGCATCATTCTAAAGGTCACTCACTAAGGTAGGGTGTGAAGAGGGGCAAGAAACCGTCCTATTGACTAATCTCTATTGATAACCCGATTCAAGATCTAAAGTTTCTTTTTTGTTTTCTCGATTCATCGCTCTCTCCCAAGTCCAGTGTCTCTCTCTTGGCTTACTTCAAACCAATATACATATTCACTTGCAACTCATCTAGTCGCACTCTGCTCTATGCTTTTTCCAATCTCGCTTCTGGCACTCCCCCGAGCAATATTTCACCCTTTGACAACGTGAACATTTCTTTAAAGTAACTCCCGCTTGGTCCTCTGGTTTTCCGCAGCTTCGACATCTTTCTACCCGAGTCACTGGGTTCCGCATCTTGGGAAGGTCAGCAGGGTCAACGACTTCTTCGTTGAACGGAATTGCATAGGTCGGGCTGATTGCAACACGGACTGCATTTGGGGCTGCGTTTTCCCACTCAGGGAGAGACACGAAGTTCTCTGGTAGGAGCCCGTTACCACACGAGCACAGAACCTGTTCACCATCTTTGAGACTCAGCGGAATAGTCGCCCCCTTTCTCTTATACTCGCAACTCCTTCCGTGAGACCAGGTACGGCACCGCTCAACCATTGATGGGAGAGACTTCTTCCAAAGGCATAGTTCTGCATCATCGACATCGATACTGCCACATTCAAGTTCCCGGAGAATCAGAAGGAAGGATTCCATCCGGCCCGATGTAATAAGATCCATCGTGAACGGGATAATAGCTGCATCAATAACAACGGAAGCAGCATCGCCGTCAATCCGGATGGCGGAGACGAAAACAAGCATGTGAATACCACCTCGCTTCGGGTGGTTGATTGCAAACAAACCGGTCTGGCCAGCCTGTAAGCCGGTGGCGATCATAAACATGGTAAACACAGATTCCTTGAAGTTGACCATCGGGTCATGCGAGATTCCGCTTTCGCCGCGCACAGTACGTAGGTATTTTTCTCGGGCTGAAAACTGCATTGATGTCAATGTTGTCATCCATCGGTTTCGGTCCTTGTTTTCCAAATCAATGACCGGGAGATTGTCGAGATTCAGGTGCGACATGTTGAGACAGGCCGGAACGCCAGACGAAGAGATTGCTGAAGGGTATGCGAAGTCCAGCAGTATAGGAGAAGAGCCAGGCTGTGCCAGTGGTGCTATCAATTCGATGTAGCCTGTCGTTCGAGCAACACGAGATTTCATTCCATCGTTGGTGACAGGCACCGGGAAGTTGAGAGGGCAAACAAGATCATACTTTCCAAAAACAATATCAATGGCGAAGGGGCTCTTCTGACGAAAGTCGATCGGGACTTTATCCTTAAGGAACCCCTTGCCTTTCTTCGAAGTTATGTCCAAGTGTCCAGTAATGGTAGAGATGACAGACTCAGAAGGTGATATCTCGAGCAGAATCTTGGTCGTCTTGTCATCCTGACCCTGATTAACCGCATTCTCGAGAGACCTAACAGCACTACATACAGCAGGGTAGCCATCCTGCCCAGGTAAATGCTTCGTCACGAATACGCTGGCCTTGTCATCAGTGCGCGTTTCAAATACAGTCATGGTCATTCCCAGGATGGGACCATAAATGAAGGAGTTCTGCCCCGTGGGTGGAACACAAAGTCCCACCAATGCTGAGTTGGGTTCGTTCTGCAACGTTGAAGTGGGCACATAAAAAGATGCAACAAGAGGAGAGTCTCCGGCCCATCCATCCCGATCTCTTTCAATAACCACTTGAAACTCGTCCTCATCCGACATCTTCTTAGTTTTAACATTGCCGAAGGAAATTTGGATATCTCCAAATATGTTTTGCCATCCTTCGGTAGCATTATGACTAGATCTCACAGATCCGACAAGTGGCGGTGATGCAAGCCCAAGAGGGTTATTTTGATGTTTATACAATCGAGCAATGGCCGGTCTAGGCACAACTACCGTGACAGCGACTGCTGGCGGCAGGGATTTCCAGCGATTGAAAGCTCCATTTTGAGGAAGGCTTCTGCTCTCCTGGATAATCCATGGCTCGGTGTTTACGCCAAGAAGGTGAAGCTGAAGGCACAGGTCTTGCATGCCATTGCTAGCCAGCAAAAAGCGGTGGTCTTGAGCAATCGAGTCAATGAGAGCTGAGCACATGGATGGCCAGTCTGTTGCAACTCGGGCCATGACAATCTTGAGCATGGTAGCGAAGCTTGTACGGATAAAGTGGCCATACGTGTTTGACCTCTGTCCCACACTTGACTGCGATATGTTCTCAGCCTCAAACATGTGGTCATAGAGTGGTGAAAGTAATTTGATGAGCTGCTTCGAGTCTATATGCAGCTTCCCGTGGCGAGCCTGACCCGAAAATTGGTTGTCTCGCTTCCAAGCCAGTCGGTTTCGGGTTTGCGTTTCTCCTTTTACTTCATTCATGAGTCCAAGAAAAATCTCGTCAACATGGGACTCAACCTTGGCATTAGTCCAGTATTGCACAGGACTGAGACCAAGCAGAAGTGAGATGGTCGGTGCATGTCCAGAGAGAATCTTGTCTAGAGCATTCTTCTGATCACCCTCAGGCCTGATGAGCAATTCTGTGAAAAGGGACGCCCACGGCTCGTCTTTGAGAAGAGGCCCTGCTGCGAAGAGAATGTTGAGGGCTCCGATGTGGTCGCAAAGGTTTGAGGTATCGATCATATCGAACACCGATGGCCCTAAACCACCCTTTCCATATTCCTTCGGATCCAAGACCAATGGTCGAGGGTCCCAGGTTCGCCGGTATAGATTGGCTGGCTTTCCTGTTGTATGCGCCGCCTGTAAACTGTGACAGAGCGTCAAGGCATCCGCGACGGCGAAGCGAATGACAACATTGCTTTTCAGCGACTTGAAAGCAGAGATCCATTCATTGAACTGGGTCTTAGCAGAAGCTGAGGCTACAAATTCTTTTCCTCTGATCTTGGGCTCAAGTGGAGAGCCTTCGAGAAGAGTAGCATAGGCCGTTGCCAGATGAAAGCCCAAGACTGGATCACTAGCGTAGTGCAGAATGTCGTTCTCAGAGAGAAGACTTGCAAGGAGCGGATTTGGCAGCTTATCCTTGGCTTGGCGAGGTGTGACTGTGCCATTTTTCCAATATTGAGCGGATATATCCCCGAGTTTTGCTCCTGCTTGTATGGAGAGTGGTGCAGCGGAACGCATAGCTGTTAAGTTGAGGCGCCCTTCACCAAGCTTTTGTTCGTGGATGTCCTTAGAAGGTTGGATATTCTGCTGAAATGTCGCCATATAGCTATCGGACTGACACTTGGATGCCGCAGCTTTGATTGACATCCAAACACGACGGACATCTGATAGAGTATCAGCATCGCAGAATCGGATAGATTTCCCCCAAATACTGCTGTTCCATTCATCAAGGGATTTGGAAACGATTAGCAGCTTAGTGGCAGTAGCTGCTACAATCTTGGCAGTATCTTCGTCCACAAATAAATGGTAGTAGACATTCCAAAGCTGCTCCTCACTCAGTTTGCAATCCTCATCAAGCAGGAATATCAAGAAGAAAGCATTGCGAGCTATTCTGGTCAACATGCTGTGGTACTGTGATGTAGGGTAAGTCACGTACCAAGAATCTTTTCCACGACATCGCAACAAGTAAAGTCAATTTTTCTCTGAGCTGATCCGATTAGCTTCAAGTTGTGAGGCCAGGTTGAGTTGTACTCACGCAAGCCTTTCTCCAGGTATGTTGTGTAAAGAATGTTGCGCAGATCACCACAGCCAAGCGAAAGCACATCTGCGTCCTGGCCTTGAGGTACTGATCTGGTCAGACTGGTTGCTGGCGTATTGCCGGCAGCATAGAGAAAGCTAGTTTTTACGGCAATAGTTGGCGTAAGCATGGCCGGTCAATAGTGAGAGGAAAGTCTCACGGGCTTGTGACAGATAGGAAATACGGGAGTAATGTTGTGTCTATAAGGCGTTGGCGGAGGGTTTGGAAGTATAAGGAAGCTCGGACTACCTTAGTCAAGGCAGAATATATGTGGCTACGTCTTGTGAGTGGAGCCAGTGAGACGCTGGAAGATCTACCAAAATGATATTAGAGCAAGAGTAAAACAGAGGTGAAATGGTGCGTCTGTGGCAGAACCACAAATGAATGTAATTCCGACTGATCTCAGGTGAATAGTGGAATTTACGGGGGATCAACAGCCTCAACTTAAATTCAATCGGTGGTTCAAGGAGTGATGGAACTGTCATATCACAGTGGCCACCAACTTGCAACCATCGAATCAAAGTACATCACTATCACATTTAATCGAGGCACAAAAGTTAATCGTCAATGAGTATTCCATTGATAAATCCCATATACTCCCCCCATAAAAGCAAAAGCCTCAACCTCAAAACTCCAAGCGGCCCAAGGGGGTGTCCGACACCCAACCGCATTGAGACCTTTGCTTTCTATCAAATTTCTCCCCCCCAAAAATCACAAAGAATCCCATTCCGGTTCGCCATTTCCAGCCCTGATAATCCCTTGTTGATGATGATGAAAACCCCGTTGAAATACCCAAGCCCTTTTTTACTTTCTTCTGCCCAATCCCTAGTGTACATAACCGCAGGCGTGCATTACGTAGAAGCGTGAGTGTGAGCGTGAGCGTCGTGAGAAAATGTGTCGCTTCTTCTGGAAACGAGTGACCTCATATGGTATAAACCGAAACAAAAAAGTGCATGGCTGATTAAGTACTGTTCCATGGCTTGCGCAAGACAAAACGAAACGAAACGAAACAAGCAAACAATGCTGGGCACAAACTAGTTGCTGCCAAAGAAGACGTCGTCATTGTTGTTGGTAAACATGCCGACATTGTCGAAATCTTCGTCAAACTTGCTCATGAGCATGTTGGAGTCGCGATCTAGTTGGATAAGATCGTCGTCGTTGGCAAATTGATACAGCATTTCATCGTCCGCATTGCTTAGACCAAGGGGAAGAGAAGCAGCCATGGTTGCCGAGGTGACGAAAGTTGTTGTCCCGGGAATGATGGTCAGATCGTCGTTGTTGATTGAAGTGTTGGGGTCGACGTCGAAGAAGTGAGTGGCTGGGGGAGAAGATGATTGCGAGAGCTCAGGTGGTGTGTTGTACTGGCTTGCGATGCTCTTGGAAGGTGATGCCGCGTGCATAGGAGTGCCCTCCATGATGGCCTCCGGTGAGATGTACGAGTGTACACTGCCAGTGGAGGGAGAGGAGGCATACTCCTGAAGAGTGGCGGCTGTGATGCCAGTCATGGGTGCTGAAGAGACGGCAGCAAGGGCCTGGTTCTGCGAACTCATTCCAATGTCCATCATTTCATCAAGCATAAACTGTTCTGGTGAGTTGACAGCTGAGCTGTCAGAACAAGCAGAGAATGATGACATTGAGCTGACAGACATGTTCTTCTTGCGGGTTCGCGCCGACTTCTCCATGCGAGTCTCGATATCAGGGCGGCTCTTCTTGGGCGGCCTACCTCGCTTGACAACCTTACGCACGACGTTATCGAAGGCACCAATGCACATGCCTCGTTGGCGATGTCGAGTAAGAGCATCATGGCGAGCAAAGCTGTTGCCACATTCGCAAGGGTAGGGCTTGATTCCGGTATGGATCTTGGCGTGTCGCTTGAGATCGTGCTGGCGAACAAAGCACTTCTTGCAAGTGGGACACTGGTATTGTCGGTCATTGAGATGAGTCTGAACATGCGACTTGATGTTCTCCTTGCGGCCGAATTTCTTGCCGCAATCTTCATAAGTGCATGTCCACTTGCCGTCGCTGGCGTCTGGGCCACTAATGAACTGGGCGATCTCATCCTGAGTGACTCCGGTCTCTGTCTTGGTCTCCTCGATGTTAATGCTGGCGATGCTGGCAGCACTTGCGATGCTAGCAACTGACTCGGTGCGGCGATGGGGAGAGTGGCGACGAGAAGGTGTCTGAGAGGGGGTTCCAGAGACAGATTGAGCACCCATGGGATAGGCTTGGAGTTTAGGCTTATTGTCAAAAGATCCCATGTACTGTGTCATCTGAGGAGTGTTGGGAGTGGCTTGTTGTGGTAGTTGATGGTTGAGACTCTGGATGTCATCCCGGCCGAAGTCGCTCTCGATCTTCATGAACTCATTGTTGAAGCTGTTCATGTTCATGTAGTCAGGTGTCGACAATGGCAGTCCGCTGAAGGATGACTCAGGGAGAGTATTTGACCGAGCTGGGCTAGACATGACTTGCTCAGAATGTTGTCTGATGTCTTGGAAGATGGTTTGAGCCCTTCGGTTTCCTCCACGGTTCCTCACGGGCTTGATCGTCTCTTCCATAGACTCATCATAGCCATCGGCAAACCGACTTGGCATGCCATCATCCTTGACCAATCGGTCGTGGGGAGTCTCAATTGGCGTAGGGGGAAAGTAACCTTGCTCAAGGTTAGCCGTCTCAGGCATTGTCATTGTCCAGCTGAGCGACTGACTCTGTGTGTTCTGGTTCTGATTCTGATTCTGATTCTGACTTTGGTTCTGGTTAGGAGGCGTAGCGGGTCTTGTCGTTGAGTCCAAGGTCTCAAACTTGTTAACGCGGTCCATAATGCCACCACTTATCCTTCTTGAGGTTCTCCTTGTACTGGAGGTGTCACCTTCAGAGGACCAGCCCTGAGCGGAGGAACCCTCAGAAGGAAATTTGATGAACGTTGGGGTTGAAAGTGCACTGTCATTGTTAAAGATATCAAATTCCTTACCTCCCGACATATTGTCACCGTATGCAGCCTGTTGGCCCTTGCCCATCATCACGTTAAGATCAGTAGTGTACGGGTCAAAGGGAAGTGAGTTGGGGTCAAAGCAGGACGGGTCGAATCGTTGTGTCTGAGGAGTTCCATGAGGGGACATGAGATAGTTCTCACTTCCACTTGGGGCCAGATTGGCGTAAGGGTTCTGTGTGCCCGGGCGTGCTTGAATGCGTTGCTGCTGCGCTTCTCGCAGAACTTGCTGCGTAGAAATATTGGCTAATCCTGTGTTGTTAGTATTCGTACTTACCATGTAGTTCTGCCTTGTTGCTGCTGAGTTCATGTTCTGGTTCTGTTGTCGTCGAACATCTAGGCTGAGGCCGCGTCGGTGTGCGGTTTGTCGTTGTGTAGTTGGCAGATTAGGGATCTTGACGCCCTCAAAAGCAGACGGTGTCGAATTTTGACGCCGATGCTGCTTTTGTCGGGCGTGAAGTCCTGTTGGATTGGACAGCATAATGTCGCAAGGGGAGTCCGGAAGGGAATTGTCGTCGGTCGATATATTGTCGATGGGAACCTATAGGTCCGAAACTGTTTGATATGTCAGTCAACTTGTCCAAGTCTTTCACTGACTGCACTTCATGTTCTGTTCCTTACCTCACGCAGCGCAAGCACAGAGCGCCGGGCTAGTGGAAAGTTGTTGTCGTTCTCAGTCGATGTCGACTTTGCGATATAAGTTCAAATGTGGTTATGCCTATGAGGCAATGATACTGGTTTGTGGAATTACTCTTTTTGTGTGTTTGAGCTCTCCCGAGAGATGAGATAGATGCAATTGATGTACAAGCTCTGATTGATCTTGTTCTGTATGTATGTATGAATGTGTGAATGGAGTAGCTTTGGTGCTAGATGCAACAAGAGCAGCAGTGTGGATAACTTGGATCTTTGGGGTTGATGGTGAGATCGAGCTAAAAGTAAACAATCACCAGGGGCAACCAGAATCAAACCACTAAATCCAGCTTCATCCATGCTCAGCCGGTTACCCTGGCACACCTTGGGCGGCTAGAGCTACTAAAAGAGTGTGGCAGCCAACTTCTGAGACGTGACCTGGTGACCGATGGTTCATTACACCATAGAACCATGTTTATTCTCGGGACACACATCCCACTTCCTCACCATGATAAGATTCTAGCCGAGGATTGACCACTGACTACACTCAAAGTGATCTCATCATCTTTATGACTTGACAACTTGCACTCTCACGAGCCAACTCCCATAATAAACATTGGTAACTTAGTACGTATGTACTTTGTACTTCGAGAGCCACAGCCACAGTACATAGATTAGTTACCTCGCAGCTCAAGCAATTCGAGGTGTCGCATGGGAATAGCATCATTGCCTTATTCCCTGTTGCTACCATAACAACCTAGGATTCCAGCACATGTCTCGGTCAATGGCAGCTGTAAACCACAACCCCTGCAGCTGACGCAGATGACGTCTCGTTTCAGGATCAACACGATCACAAAAAACTGAGGTTGTCCCAAACAACCTGGAAATGAGAAAGCCCAGGTCATCGTCCATACCAAGTGCCTCTGCGCCATTGGACATACAAACGCTCAAAGGCCTCCAACTTGTAACTGCATTCCAGCCAAACAACAGATGGCGATATCCTGTGTCACCATCACCATGAATTGAACGTTGCCTAGGTTCCCCAGTCCTTGACTGTATATCCAGCTGTAAAGTTTCCTCGCTTCCGACGGGAGGCGTTCTTCAGCACAAGGCATTCATTGCCTTGGAATCTCACCATTCCTTATCATTGACCGAGATCCTGTCGCTCTTTGATACAACACGGTCTAGAAGCTTCACTGCCAACGGATTACTCCATGGAAGGCAGTCCTTTGTTCTCTGTTATTTGAGACAAGCTCTGCGTTTTGTCAAAGTTTGCAGTCGCTTGCTCGTTCTGTCGTCATTGTAAACAAAGTTCCATCTCCCGCTGACGAGGCAAACACCGTTGAACGTTCAAACTTTGCTGTACTCGGCTTTTGGGGGACATCCTGTCGGCACTTTTGTCCCCAAAGATGGCGTTTTCAATCAAGTCCAACACCATATGCACCGGCCTACAACCGGCAGCTCTAAATAATAAAGCAGCATCATTATCAATGAACAAACGGGGCGTCAGTAGCCATGGAAATGTTGATACTGTTCATAATAAAGTCTCCAGGAAACTGTTATCGTGTGAATAATGATGCATCTTGACCCAAACTCTCCTTGCTTGTGTTTTTACTACCGCATTCAACACTGTAACGAAGAGTAGTTGTTCGTATAAATTGTATTTCCCAGAACTCGGAATCGAAAACATTCAGTGTCTAAAGGCCGCTTTTATATGAATATAGAGTCTAAGAATAAAGATTATAAGATAAAAGCTCGTTCTTAAAGAGTTCTTCATTCATTGACCCAAGGCCAACGCCGAGGGTTGCCGGTATAATCGGCCCCACACGGGGCCAGCACTGGCTATCACCACTTCCGCAGGATCAGCCGGCGCCAAAGTATTGAAAAATCATACAATGATTTGGGAGCACGCGCTCAACACTAACGAAGGTTGCAAGGTATTGCCCCGCCGATATATCCATACATCTATGGATTTATACGATCATAGAAAAGTAATATTACATCAATTCTCCTAATTCATGGAGTTGCACCATTATTTAATACGGGGATCTTTAGATATGTATCAATTTCTAGTGATTTAATGTTGCATTCAACTCTCTTAAAACGCAACTAACAATACTAACTATAGTTTATGACGATTTCATAGCTGGCCGTTTCGACTCAAACAGGTCAAAAAGTGAAGGGGGAGAGCATTATATTCTCAACCATGTTCGAAATAGAGTAGTATGAGAGTTGTGCTAGACCTTACCTTCATGATATCCAATACCTTAGTACCTACCTAAGGTACTGTTTTCCCTGAAACGAAGTCCAAAACTGTACCTTCCTAAACAAAAGCGTAATGTAGGCAGGTACGATGTTCATGTTGAGAATTACTCCTGTGAGCAAACTGGGCAAGTGTGTGTGCACTTACAAACTTGGGCAGGAGCGAGCAGGTACTTTGGCAGTCGGCAGTTGGCAATAGCTGCCAGTGCAATAAGGTACTGGGCACATACCCTCCATGTCAAGGAAGCCTCGGGGTGGCTTCCTTTGTAACTTCTTCCCTCTGACCTTTCTCAACTTCTTTCTTCCAAGGTCAGGTTAAGCATTCTCATCTCCCATCGTCTTCTTGACCCTTCTTCATTGAACCAAGCACAGCCACTCCTTCACTCAACCATGACCGCAGACTCACTCACAACCGCCAAGAACTCCGGCGTCATTGTGTTCGACAAATGCGAAACTATAGAGCGCCAGCGAGACAGCATCTATGAAACTTCATTTCACCAACGCCTCAAATGCCCCTTCGTCGTGCAAACTGTCCCCTATACTGGATATCTACGCGCACTACAGCTGTATGGCAACGAGGATGCTTTCGATCTCACCCAAGACGAACGTGAGAACCTCATGAACTGCAAGAATCTGGAATTCTGCCGATCCCTGGCTCGGAACCAAGGCTACAATCCGGAGTCTGGTAACACTGCGCCCTGGGCGGGTGTATACTTTCCGCTCCAGTTCATTCAGACATACCCTGGCCCTCGCATGATCGTCATTGAACCAGGGGTTGAGGAACAGGCGGTGCCCAGCGAGCAAACACTGTCCAGCACGGACACGGAGGACCAGTCGGCCTTCTCAACTACTGAGGCCTCCCAGGAGATCGAAAAGGCTGAGGAAACATCCCTCGTTCCGTTCTCGACTCTTCAACTCTGTGACCCCGTCAAGCCAGCGACTCTCCGAGGCATGAGTGGTAGTCGCGTGCCCAGCGCAGATGATTTCGGCAATACCTGTGTTGGCGGCATGGAAATGGCCGTCGTCGTGACTGAATTACTGGAGGGTGCTGTGAAAGGAAACTTCGATGTTGAGTGGAAGAGAGCAATCGAGGACACACTCGACTACATTGGAGGATCGGAGAACATGGCCGCTTTCCTCGAGATGATGTACAAGGAATTCCCCAAGAAGAAGGAGACTTCGGTGGCGTCTACTATTGGCCGTCGACTCCGTGGCTCGGAGTGAAGGAACTGAAGTTGGGAATAATACCTGACATGTGGGACTACGATGCCATGGTCGGATACCTGCTGTCACGAAGGATCGGTTTTGATGTATAGTCTCTGGGATCTGCCCCAGACGAGGAAGCAATTTGCTTGTACGCAAACCAAATGTTCATACGGTCTTAATATGTCTAATAAGGCTCCTGATTCGTGGGCGAGCATGGAATAAGAGTCGACACATAATATATTGCACGGGCCCATGATGTGCTGGCTGGATGTAATGGATCCTTCTGACGAACTATATGTAAGTCAGATACGACCAGATGCGGGTCATTACTGGGAATAGCATGCATATAGGGTAGTATTGCACTTGAAATGATTCTTTTCCTTTTTGGTCTGGCCCTCGATCATGTATACAGCATGTCTAAGGTTTCGTTTTATTTAGGAGAGACGTTTATTGGATCCAGTCGGTGAAACGGTTTCAATCAACATCTGATTGGATAATAAGGGCTCCTGAGTCAACAACCACTAAGAGTTACCACAACAACCCTGAAAGCACAGGGGCCAGGCCTGAGAGGCGGGCGGGAGGTACCAAGATCCTGGGAGCTTGGAGAGTCACTCACCTCGAACAAAATCACCCGGTTTCCTCCAGCCTGCAGAATATCTCGCCCATGCTATTGGCTGATCCTTGATTTTCCTAGATTTCCTCCATCCGGGGCATAGACTCACCTTTTTCTATTGCGTTTCCCTTGCCGCCGACCCTCTTTTGCATACAGCGAAACAGATAACGCCAGCAATCGTACGTATTCTGCCTTTGGCTGTGACGACAAGCCGGACCGACTCCTCGTCTCGTCTTCGTTCCATCTACCGCTATCATGTCGGGAAACACTTATAGAGGAACGCCCACTCGCAACCAGGGCCGTGGCGCGGTTCCTTTCACCAACAGTCCCAGTGGTGGTTCAAACATCCCTCGTCCGGTCCTCGAACCCTCACCGCCTACTGAGACTGGATCTGCGGTCAGCGCCAGTCGTCAGAAGCAGAGCAAGCGTGATGAGGTTCGTCATGATGTACCCTTACGATTGGCCTCGACTGCGATATATACCTCGAAAGGCTTCGAACTACAATATACCAGGTTACTGACCTCCACCACAGGCCATCCGAAAGAAGCTCGAAAATGACCTCTCCAAAAAGAAGCACCTTACCAGTCGGGCTCGCCATTCACGAAAGGCTCCTCCTGGGACTGTCCTCGCATTGAAGCCCAGCCAGGCCCTACAGATCAAGCCTAACACTACCGTCTCCGAGGCTGCTCAGCTGATGGCCGCAAAACGCGAGGATTGTGTTCTGGTAACTGACGATGACGATCGCATTGCCGGTATCTTCACCGCAAAGGATCTTGCGTTCCGAGTTGTGGGAGCTGGAGCAAAGGCTTCCGCTATCACCATCGCTGAGATTATGACCAAGAACCCTCTTTGCGCTCGAACCGATACCAGTGCTACCGATGCCCTGGATCTCATGGTCCGAAAGGGTTTCCGACATCTGCCAGTTATGGACGAGAACCAGGATATTTCAGGTGTGTTGGATATTACCAAGTGCTTCTACGACGCAATGGAGAAGCTAGAGCGTGCCTACTCGTCCTCTAGAAAGCTTTACGACGCGCTCGAGGGCGTCCAGTCTGAACTGGGCTCTACTCAGCCCCAGCAGATCATCCAATATGTCGAGGCTTTGCGTAGCAAGATGTCTGGGCCTACTTTGGAGACCGTGCTCAACGGTGTGCCCCCCACCACCGTGAGCGTGCGAACCTCAGTCAAGGAAGCTGCACAGCTTATGAAGGAGAACCGTACCACCGCTGTCCTTGTCCAGGATCAAGGAGCTATTACGGGTATTTTCACCAGCAAGGATGTTGTTCTTCGAGTTATTGCACCTGGTCTTGACCCCGCCAACTGCAGTGTTGTGCGTGTCATGACCCCTCACCCCGACTTTGCACCCATGGACATGACCCTCCAGGCGGCTCTCCGCAAGATGCACGGTGAGTTGTTTGAGAAAACTTAGTAAGATGCCACTAATATGTTTTCAGATGGTCACTACCTAAACCTCCCTGTCATGAATGATGGCGGTGAGATCGTCGGCATGGTCGACGTTCTCAAGCTAACATATGCTACACTCGACCAAATCAACGCCATGTCAAACACCAATGATGAGGGTCCCGCGTGGAACAAGTTTTGGCTGTCACTCGATGCTGAGACAGAGTCCATGATGTCTGGAGAGGGTAGTGCAGCACACCACACCAATCTGGGTTCTCGCCTGACCTCGCCTGACATGCATCGAGGTATCAACGATAGTCTCGCACCTGGCGACTCGGCATCTCATGTTGGCATGGAGTCACCTCCACGTTCTGTTCTTCCTGATGTTCTTGAACATCAATTACCAGAAGAGCTCCCTTTCCCCTTCAAATTCAAGGCTCCATCTGGCCGAGTGCACCGTCTCAAGGTCACTGCAACAGAAGGGATTGAAGTTTTCGTCAATGCCGTCGCCTCCAAGCTTGGTGCTGAGGCAGATAGCATTGGTGGTGTGCCTCCTGTGTCTGACGGCAAAATTGTCGGCCCAGGTTTTGCAATGAGCTTTTTGGATGATGAAGGAGACTCTATCTCTATCACAGCCGACCATGACCTTCTTGAGGCTGTCATTCTTGCTCGTCAAGCTCATCATGATAAGGTCGATCTATTTGTCCATGATCCTGAGAAGCCACCTGCCTCTGGTGCTCCTGCTACACCTTCAGTCTCAACAGGGGCCGGTCTACGAGAGCGGCGTAAGTGGTGGCCCGAGGAGGATGATGATGATTCCGAAGATGAGGACGATGAGGAAGAACCCGTACGGAGACGAAAGGGCCGTGCGGCACATACACAAGCACAAGGCCCCGAGCAGCTTATTGCCGGTGTACCGAACGAGCTCATACTTCCTGGCGCAATCGTCACATTGGCCGTCACTATCATTGGTGTCTTTACCATCGCCAGACTCACCAGTCGGTAAAGGTGGTATCTGCTGTTCTTAGTAATGACATGATGAAGATGGGGGTGGGGGTGCTGTTTAGTGTAGATATTCAGAAAGAGAAAGTAGCTTTTTATAGTAGAGATTACCCTTGCAAGGCTAATTCAATGCGAATAAATTTTCTTTGTCAGTAAAACATGTCTCATTACCAGTTTCAGGAGCGTTCGTTCGTTTGGAAAGTTGTGGTGAGTTGTAGCTGGGGGATATTAGTCGGCCCGGAAAATCCCTCCGCCCGATTCATCGACCATAGCCAAATTTTGGCACTGTCGAACGACTACCAAGATAACCGAGCAGTCTCCAAGTCGTCGCCATGATCCTGAGGAACGCCCCCGTGCGGCATTGTGAGTCAATTGAGCTCTAATTCATCCAAGTACTCAACTGACATGTTCAGGCCGCCACACATTGGCGTCTCCCATCTCGAGGTCCCTCGCCCGGCAAATGTTCACTCAGGTCACCACAAAGACTGAGACCACATCCGAAGAGTGGAAGACCACCCAGGCCGCTGTTGCGCCTCCGAAGATTGTCTCAGCGGCACGAAAGAAGCAGAGAATTGTACAGGACGGTATTCTTTCTCTCAGGACCAACTCGGCGCACGAGCACAAAGGTGCTGCTTGGACAACACCTCACTCAAACTCAAACTCGGCGGTACCTGCGACTCCTGCTCAGCAGTATAAGGAATGGCAAAGAATTCAGGCCAACACGCGAAGTCTCGGCACAAAACTGGAGAAGCGATATATTCCCACCGAGCTTGTCAACAACCCACCTGGACCTGAGGATATCACTCTGGAGATGTTGATGGCTTCACAAACACACATTGGACACAAGACTTCGCTCTGGAACCCCGCGAACTCTCGGTACATCTACGGAGTGCGGCAAGGTGTTCACATTATCTCTCTGGAAACGACTGCAGCACATCTGCGACGTGCGGCCCGTGTAGTGGAGGAGGTAGCATACAAGGCTGGCCTCATTCTCTTCGTGGGAAACCGCAAGGGTCAGATGGAGATTGTCACCCAGGCTGCTGAGATGGCTGGTGCTTGCCATTTGTTCACTAAGTGGACCCCTGGGGCCATCACCAATCGAGATGTTATTCTGAAGATGGCCGGAACAAAGGTTGTGGACCACAAAGACCAAGAACTCCCCGGTTTTGAGTCCTACAGAGGCTCGGCTCGACCGCTGATGCCTGATCTGGTTGTCTGTTTAAACCCCCTTGAGAACTATACTCTTCTTTATGAGTGCGGTCTTAAGAGCATCCCTACGATCGGCGTTATTGATACCAACGTAGACCCATCATGGGTGACTTATACCATTCCTGCTAATGATGACAGGTAAGAGCTTCTACCAACTTTACTCATTTCCTTTACTAATGCATGGGTAGTCTGCGAGCTATGGCTGTTGTTGGCGGTGTCCTAGGCCGAGCTGGCCAAAGAGGTCAACAGCGACGTATGGCAGATGCGAAGAAGAAGAACATGGCGACATGGGAAAACTCTCCTGATATCGTACAGCACATGAACCGCGAGAAGAAGGCTGCTCTTGCTGAGCGCAAGAATGTAATGGGACAGATGCAACACAATCTTGAGGGATTCAATGAGGAGGAACAGAAGATCTTACGAGAGGGGCTCTACGGAGACGAGCTTGAGGTTACTGAGAGCGAGATGGTCGACATGATGGGACAGGCTGCCCTGGGAGCTGCAAAGGAGGCTGCCGCTGAGGCGTTTTCTGCGTTGCCTGGGGAATCTGCTAGCTCTGGCCCCGAGTCTCCTGTGCAGGCCACTCCTTCTGGAGTGGTGATTGAAGCTCAGGCTGAGACTACCACCTCATCGCCAGAACAGCCTATTACCCCTGAAGCAGCCACTTCACCTCCCGAGCAATCAGCTACACCAGAAGCAGTAGCTGAAGTTCAGTCTGAGATTAACCCGACTGCATCAGCACAGGATTCTAGGCTAGCGAGCATTGAGGATCAGTTGTCAGGACTGAAGAATG